CACCCAATGCTCTTTATTAAATAATTACTTCACCAGACATTAAAAAACATCAGTAAAACCAAGTACACAAACAGAACTAGTACTTTTGCACACCACTGCTTAACAGGTAACAAAAAATTAATTTTGTTTTATTATTTTTGTTTGTTTTAGTTATAACAAATCAGATTCTTCAAAGGTCCAAAGGACAAAAAAAACTGCAAAAAAATGTATTTATGGATACAGAAAACAAACTGCCTGCAGAACTAAAGTGCTGAGAATGTAAAGTTACACTTAATTAACTTAATTAAAATAAAGCACTTTGTCGCAATCGTTACAAAATTTAAAAAGTACATTATTTTGTATAGGTAAAAATCTTGAAGAAGTTTATCCCTGTACCATCACTGCAAATGTAAAAGCATTTCTCCTCAACACATATGAGCAAACTACTTTCATCTGATGAATAATTCTGCAAAGTTTGAGTAAAATAAATTAGTATCTGCATGTAGCATAAAACTGAACCTTACCATGAAATCATGTTCAGAAAGAGCTGCAAGCTTTCTTCATATAAAAAACTGAAAATGTAAAGCTGCTTCTTAAAGTTTCATTCTTGTTTAATTCCACGACTCCACGTTTAGTCTGATCAGGTAACGGAGCATCACACAAAAATAATTTACAGAAGATTTTAGAATATTTTTACATTCAAAGGTTTAACAGACATGATCTTTATCTGTAAACTTGGAGATAGACTCAAGATTTCACTCCAGCTTGTTTCCTCTGAACTGTGGGATCACAAATGACACGCACCTTCACTGTTTCATTAGTCAAGTTCTTGTTCATATTATAAGAAAACCTTAGTTTTTGATTTAAACATGCACCTTTACTGAAATAATGATAACAGTTCGTAGACCAATCTAACAAACGAGAGAGAGAGAGTAAATGTTTTCCTTCTCAGACACAGTGGAGATATTTCAGGCATTTTGTTGGGTGACTTGCGCAGCCTGTTTGTAGACAGACTGCAGTATCAGTGAATGATGCACACCCAAGTTTCACACAAAGATGCTGAACTGAGTGACACAGAGTGTGTGTTGTGAATGACCCTCAGCTACTACCACACCAAATTGTCACTCATCGTTGTTAAATGTGTCTGAGTTAGAACTGTTTTGTGTTTGCTAAGTTGTTTAGGCCATCTTAATTTATGTTTATGTTCTCTTAATCAGTTCTAGATGTACGTACATTGATTACTTTCTGAGAGTTTCACCAAAATTTGTCCAACAATTTATGGACTATTTTGCCCACAAAGTTAAATTTGATATTTAATAGCAAAGTTTTTAAAATCGATTTTATGCGATCGTGCTCAGAGTATATGTTGGCGTAAATCAGCTACAAAATTCTAACTCAATCTCTGCAAAATTAAGTGTTATGGATTAAGTTTTGTGTTTGCTTTGGTTACTTATTTGTGGCAGCCATATTAAATAGACTGGACACCAAAAGTTATTCAGTTTTAGAAAAACACCCAATTAAACATTTATGACGGTTTAATTACCATGCTTTATGAGATGTTTGATAACAGAGCACACAAATAAATATTATTGTTATTATTATTATTATTATTT